CAATATTTAGTATTCATGGTTATAATTTGTCTTTCCATTTTCTTGAATAGTTTCAGAAAAGCATTTCTTACTGTTTTGATACTGAGAAGTCTTGTCATCACAGCATGAAGCTAGGCAATTATGTGCCAAGCCCCCATTATCAACCAATAACAATCCATTAAACTTCTTATTTCCACTTCCCCTTTCGCCATCATCAATTTCTTTTCATTTTTAACACACATTTCATTCCATTGAAGTTGAATTTATTTCATGGTAAAACCTTATTGTATGTTGAACCCACACAAACCAAAGCTCGTGGATAAAAAAATATGACTGTGAATTTTTATTTATGAAGAGCTTCGTCAATTTATTTTGACTATATAAAATCAAAATAAATTGATCCAATGAAATTTCCTCACAGATTTTAAAAAACTAAAACTATAGTGGTTTTCGCTGTACTTCTTTGTATTTTTTGCTTAATTACAAGTTTTTTTTAGCTCTTTTTTTCATTCTAAACTAAGGTAAATGCTAATCTTTAAAAGTAAAAATGAATATAAACCCCATCAAAATGTATCAAAGTTTTTTATTCTAAATTTAAGCTCGCTAGTTTTTACTCACAAAAAAATAATAATAATAAATTTGCATAGCGACTTTGAGCGTTGTTTGGGCGTGTAGATCAGTGGAAAGATCGTCTGTTTCCGGAGCAGAAGGTCGAGGGTTCGACCCCCTCCACGCTCGAATTCGTTTTTAAAGTTTTTGAGAATTAATCTAAAAACTTTTGATATTTTTATCAATTTCTCAATAAAAATATATTACTTAGACAATGAATAAAATTTCTACCCTCTACCTTTTTTTTTTTTTTAAAGAAACATATTTGTGATTTAAATCTTTTTTAACCCATTTCCGCTTAATTTAAATGAATTTTAATAAACTAAAAATGAAGGCAAATTATAATTCTTTTATAGCACAAAACAGAAAAAAAAATGAAACATAAAAGAGGCGGAAAAAAAAAAAGAATTCAAATCATGTAATACTTTCATTCAAAGCAGTAACTTCGTTTATAACAATCGTTTACTTTAGAGAGCTTTTAAATTTAAAAAAAAAAAAAAAAAAAAAAAACATGAGGGTTTAAAAGGAAATCCCTGAATGTCGATTCTTGGAATTAAAGATGAAACAAAAATGTGCACGACTATAGGATTTTGTTTTGAACAATACCCATCTTGACTTCGGGTAAGAGTCCAATACACGCAACTTAAATTAATTTGCATTTAGTATCATGAATATATTTATTTATTATTTTCATTTTCTTTTTTTTTCACTTTTTTTTCAAAAAAAACTCAACTTTTAAATGAAATTGCTTTAATATGTACATTGTTTTTTTATATCTATTTAAACATGTGAAAAATAAAATGATATTTAGGCCTATCTTTTTTTCTTATCTACAAGAAAGAAACGAAAGGAGGGTGGAAATCTCTATTTCTGTATCGAAGAAAAAAAATTCAAAATTTAAAAAAAAAAAAAAAAGATCTGAACAGTAAGTAAAATTTAAGTAAAGGGTTTTGTTTGTTTTGAGGCGCCTTCCATTTTTTTCCCGGTTCCATCAAAATCCGTTCTAAGTTCTTCCAAGATACTTGTTTGTTCTAATAAACTTTCGTTCATTTGTAAAGCCACTTGCTTTTGCCGCTGAATCACTTGGATCAAATCACTAGCTACCTGGTCTTGTGATTCCATAAATCGATGCTGTTCAATGACGGTAGGAGGTTTTTTAGGTGAGGTTGGCTTTGAAGCCATCAAAATCGGTGTCATTGCTGGTAATGTTGTTGAACACGACATTTGAAATTCATTTTGAAGGTTTGTCAATAAATTTAAACGACGTGCTTTTTCCATAGGAGTAATTCTAGAAAGTAAAAAGAGATTTTAAAAAGAAAAAAAAGAAAGCGGGTAAAAAAGATGAAAATTATTAATCTTCTTATTCTTAATATTCTACTTTAAAAAATAAAAATAAAAAAAGGATGAAATATATAAAATCAATTTACGTTAAATCATCTAATTCTTTTTCGAGCACGGCAACGCGCGCCCATTCTTGTTGTATCTGAGTTTGGATTCGTCGAAATGATCTCATGCCTTGCAATGTAGATTGATCGCATTGATTCAAATGATTTTTCAAACGCATCAAGGCTTGATGCACTTCTCGGTACCGATCAAACCAAGATTCAGTAGTAACAAACGTTAGAGCCGCAGGTAAATTTAAAAATTCAACCACATACTTAGCTTCTTTTACTTCTGGAATATTTAAGATGGAAGTGAGGTACTTAGCCAATTCCGATTGGCGAAAATAAATCACTCTGAGACTAGGTTTTTTCCATGTTTTAGGAGGTAAGGGATGCCATCGAAGTTGTGGAAAGTCTTGATGAAGACGGCGATCAAGTGTATCAAAGTCAGAGTAGCGTCGAAAACAAGTAGGTCGAAGTAAAGATGATGTACTAGTGGAAGATA